CCGATGTGTTCTCCCTCGGGGCCCACACCCAAGAAGAAGGTTGATGACATCGGTTAGCGGCATATAGCTGTCTCTAACAGTCGAATTTTCGTAACATCCTGACTTTAGCACTTTTTCCCGGGCGCTCCGAATAAGTCAAGAAAAACAGAACTTTCCAGAGTAAACGATAACTCCTTATGTGTGGCATATAACTCGACCAACCTCGCTTGAAACGATTGGTGCATTCTTTGAGAAACTGACCACGAACTGCAGAAAACTCCGGTTTCCTGATTATGATGTTTTAGTTCCAATCGATTCCAGCTGTAGTTCTGAGTCATCATTGCTAAAAAACCTGAAGATCACTCAAATTTTTCGTTCGGAATGGCCAAGTCATCAAGCCATACAACAATACAACCTATACACGCGTACTTTGGGACTCAGCGATATGTTGTCCATATGATTACGTGCGAACTAGTTCCAACATTTGAGGTCAGTGCTTTCATCTAGTCTGTCACACTACTGTCAGAGCCTTTGGGGCTTCCAAGACAAGGGCGTCATCCCAAAACCTCCAAAGTCGCCCTTGGGTCCTTTGGAGCACGCATGATCAAAGACTGCACGTCCGGCAGCATCACTTTGCACTTCATAGGTACGAAGCATACGGTGAAGGACGGCCATCTTTTCTAGTAGTGCTTCAAGGATGATAACAACGTCGACAAGGTTGTAATTCGGAGATTTAGAAGACCTTCTGCTGTTAGCCTAATTAGTCCGCATCAATAAAGGAAGTAAACGAAATTGAAGGTTGGCATGCTTGTCGAAAGCACCACTGCTTGCAGAGAATCTTTTGGAGAACTCCTCACAAACTCTTGCGCGCTCAGACTTATGTTAAGACAAAATGACGCACGACATTCAAGAGATTCTAGAGCCCCATTATTCAGGTCTGTTAAGAAGAACGAAAAGATCGACAGAACTAAACGCACTCTTAAAGTCAATGGAGTTAACAAAGATTGTAGGATATCTACACAACTGTCTGCTCCACCAGTTGGTGCGTTGCGAAGATACGGTCCCCAGAGCCTCTTCCAGACCAAACTCCTGCTTGTTAGCGCCTTCGTAAGACGGCGCATGAGACAAGTGATGCAAAACGTATGGTTACGAGGAGAAAAACTGATTCATCTGTGATTGCCACACTCTGCGAGCGTCTTTTTGCAAGTGGATGCTACGGTTTCATCTTTATAGATAGAGACAGTCAGACAAACAAGGATTTCATATCCATCTTTGAACAGAGCGGGTGGAAGTTTGTCAGGACGAGCAGTTGGGAGAGGAATAAGCTCATTTGCAAATCGATTTGGTTTTCACGAGAGACAACTGAATCTCTCGCTTATGATATTCTACAACTGAATGTGCTGCACACAGGCCGCCTCATGTTCTAGTCGGCACGATATTCGAGATATCGCAGTATATTTTCACAAAAGAAATTACTCACAAGGTTGCTGAAAACTCTTCGACAACCGAAGTGATTCGCATATGAGTGTATTTCTCGGAAACAGTCCAATGTTCAAGTAAAACATAAGGTTGGCGGAAACTCGGGGACAGCGCCTACTTGATGAGCTCCAAGAAGGGCGAAACCGGTCATGGGATGTCGAAGAAATTTCAGCAAGCTTGTGAGTAGTTTCCTTCATGAAAATATACTGCGATATCTCGAATATCGTGCCGACTAGAACATGAGGCGGCCTGTGTGCAGCACATTCTAAACGAGAGATTCAGTTGAGTCTCTCGTGGAAACCAAATTGATTTGTAAATGAGTGTATTTCTCGAAAACAGTCCAATTTGGGTTCAAGTGGAACGTAAAGTTGACGAAAAGGCGGGAACTGAACCTACCTGATGAGCCCAAAGTGGAAGCGCGAAACCGGTCGTGGGCTGTGGATGGATTTTCAGCAACCTTATGAGTAGTCTCCTTAATGAAGAAAACATTCACTTATTTTGCAAGCCATCTAGGGTCCCAATTTTTATGCCCAGGACTCCGTTGGTCCCATCTGAACATGTCCAAGCTCAATCCAGTAGGATTCATTCCTTCTCTTCCTATAAAGATTGGCCGACCAGTAATACAAAAACCGAAATTCATTGATTAGTCTGCTTTTATCTAGCCAATCGGTGTGTATTATCCTTCGCCCCAGCAACAAAGTTATTTTTTGCCCGATTAACAGCCTGTATGGGCAAACAAGACTCAGCAAAAAAGGAGTAATTAAGGTAGTTTTTACATGATGATATGACAAGTATGACGTAAAATCAATATACATCCTAATCCCACCGGAATTTCCCCAAACTGATTCTGACAGAATTGCATGCTTTGTCAATTAGCTTATTCCATTCCGGCTGTGAAGCGAATTCAGGTAAAAAGATGTGCTTCACGTCACAGGACCTTCCATTATCATGGCTGTTTGACCAACATGGTATAGAGCGGGACCTCTCCCTAAATGGTCTT